TCCCAAACCTACACCTCCACCTATTGGTCACTGTGGCAAACTCCTCCAGACATGCCAGATTTGCCAGGAGCAGCATGGGGTTTCAAGCTGTGGCAGTTATCTTTCACTCGCATGATTAACTATGAGCTATAGATGCACAACTGAGAAAAGTGGAGTATTTGGTTTGTATTCTTATAAAATCTTAGCAAAATAGCAGAAAAGACACTGAAATTTTCTACTGGAAATTCCAACCAATAATTATGTAACTATACTTTGAAATCATTTTCTTTTATTCTTTTCCATGTAAATTATTAAATTATTTAACCACTATTACTATTAGTAATAATGATGATGTAAAGTATTGTGATGTAAGTGAATATATATTGTGAGAAAGAAATATTTTGAAAAACGTGCCCCAAATTAGAAGCCTCCAACTCCTGGTGGGAGACAAAGCTGATGGAGCTAAGGTCCTGTGGGACTTAAACCAGACTGACAACCAGACATATTGGTGTTTGAGAAGGAGAAGCAGACCGCAGTGGTGATAAATGTGGCAATCCCAGCAGACAGCAACATCAGGAAGAAGCGGCACAAGAAAATAGAGGCTACCAGGGGCTGAAGGAACAGCTGGAGCAGATGTGGAAAGTGAAGTCCAAAGTGGTCCAAGTGGTAACATTAGCATTAGATGCTGTAACACCCTAAACTGGACGAGTGACTTCAGAAGGCAAATGTGCCATAATTTCACTAAACCTCCGTTGCTTTGCATGAAAACAGAGACAAAGCACAGGAAAATGAACAAGCTCACGCGTGAAATGCGGATGGTTTGTTTTCACGCTGAGAAAACTTGTTCAAAACACAGTCGGTGCATTATAAAAAAGAAATGTTCGGCTATAGGGTCTTATTTGAAAATACAATGCTTACATACGTTGTCTGTCATATATGCAGCTGTTTGACACATGTGCGTTTGAGTGACGGTGACAATGGAGTCTTCACGATCACTTTTATTTTACAGGTTTGTATGATTTTGACTCAGATAACCAGAACTGGAAAAAATGTATTTAACGAGTTACCAGATTACTGTAGCTGCCGCTCATGTTACTCCCAGTCTGTTGTGTTGCTCTTATTTATGAGCCTTTCACGTTTTGAGCATTATTCTGTCATAGAAAGAGTAGCCGTAAAGGTCAGAGGTCATCTTCCTGGTTCTGAAAGTGCCGCGTGCTTCCTGACCTGTGCTGTCTGGCGCTCTGTCGTCACAAACAAGGAAACCATGTTCGCGCTAACGCAGCGGTGCGTTCAGGTACTGTCAGAAAAGTGACCAACAGCTCTTTCAGGAAAACTGCCTTGCACGTGGTAGCGTGGCCGAGCGGTCTAAGGCGCTGGATTAAGGCTCCAGTCTCTTCGGGGGCGTGGGTTCGAATCCCACCGCTGCCAGACATTTTTCAAGTACACATAGAAAGCTGCAGTCAATACACACAGGATTTACTTTAAACATGTGGTCTTTACGCAACGTTTGTGAGCAGAACAACAACAGAATTAGGTATGACAGTTGAGTTGATAGTGAAATCTGTATAATTTCAATAATTCAAGGATATTTGGCTCCTTTTAAAATGATGTAGAATAGTAATGGAAAAAAAACAGCTTTTAATGAATTTAAAGTTTTACTACACCAACACAATGTAAGGGGATTTGCATAATGACTACTTTTATTTGTTTTATAATTATTATTTCATTTCATCCCACACTGGCAGCTACAGTTACTCATCTCCATTAACTGGAATCACTGAACAGTGACTTTTTGCTGTTAGTCTCTTTTACAGGACTTAGTGGAATTATCTGAAAAATAATTAGGCTTGTTATGCTCTATAGAGGGTGTGCTTCAGTTTTGTTGAGTAAATTCCTGTAGTTTTTGTCAATTGGCAGTAATACACACATGGTATAAATGTGTGTCAGGCACTGGTTTCTTAATTCTTGATGTGAAACATTGAGTTGATTGTTTCCACTGTGGCCATGTTGATTGCCAAAATCCACATGTGACAACTAGGTGCAGGTTTGTGAAACCATACACTCATTGGCTGTGACTTGTGATTGACAAGTTAGCAAATGATTGTGTAGCTTTATACAGATCTATTTTGAAAGATAGATTGACTAAAAGCCAAAATAGGCTTCATTTTTTTATTCAGTATAGCTCCAAATGAGTAACTGAGATCATAAATCAAGCATCAACGAGCTTACAGAGGTCAAGACAGGAAACTGTTTTCCGTTAGACTTCAATAGGACCTCAAGTATTTTTGCAACACAGCTGTCGCCATCTAGTGGCCTTCAGATGGACTGCAAGCTCAAGACACTTTCACAGTGGCTGATTTTCTATAGTTTACGCTTTTCTCCAGTGCCACTTTTCATGTAGTAGATGTATGTGAGGATACTACACATTATGTTTAGGTTCTATATTTATTGTTTGCCTAAAAAAAAAAAAATTTTTTTCGTTTAATTTTGAATTTTCGTTCTCAATTCAGTTTAAATTCACTTACTTTCCAGGGTGGGTTTGCTCATTTCAATTCACCTTTTTATTGTTTGAACATGTTAAGTGTTTGGCTTAAAAAAAAAGATTATAGACGGTCGAGGTTTAGGAAATTCAGATTAAATATTACACAAACACAACACTTAAAGTCATGTATACATCCAAGTCTAAATAAACATGCAGCAGAGGCTCCTGATGACCATATTAATAAATATTACAGCTAAGAGTTAAAAAAAAACAACAACTTATTATTGAATTGAATGATTATTGAAGCTTTGTAAACAAACAATGTAGTTTAAATTCGTTTTTCATTTTATATTTTTATTTAAGTTAACATTTTTAGGTTTTAGTTTTGTTTTAAACCACTATAGTAAATGGTGTAGGGAGAGGAAAAGTAGGGGTTAGGGTTAGGGTAACCCTAACCCAAAATAGTCTTCTTAAGACTATTTAAATCTATTTGGGTCTAAGGGTGTCAGAAGTCCGAGGTGAGGTGGAACACGTGAACGCAGCATAGCTGGACGCGGCGGAGAGGAGAAAAGAAAAGGGCAACGAAGCAGCCCGGATAATTCAGCCTCGCAGTCTTGGCGCCAATCCGACTTCAGAGGGAAATTAAACGGCTCGGTTTTCACTCACGTTGGAATCAAATTCGCAGCCGGTTGCTGCTTCTTTCAAAGCCTTCGGTCGTCTGCTGTAGCCAGCCAGCTAGCTTTGTTAGCACACTATCCATCATTGTCATATTCATCTGGCCCCCTTATTTCTGCCTGTAGTCACGATACTAATAACTCAGCAAAGCACCGGGACAATAGAGGTGTGTTTCTCCAGGGGGATCGAGCAGATACGGCAGCAAAATGGGGGTGAGTTGCATGTGTTTTTCCCCACATATATATATATATATGAAGCGAGGTGGCACAAAGAAAGGTTTTAGCTCGTCAGTGGCTGATTAAGCAGAGGAGATATGAAAGAAAGAAAGAAGGAAGGCAGGAGAGAGGGAAAGCGAGAAAGACCATGGTGGATGGATGTGGCTGAAGGTGCTGGTTTGGCTGTTAGCCGTCTAGCTGCCTAAACATGAACCCAGTAACATAGCATTGTAGCGTTAGCTCGAGCACACACATGGCTTTTTATGACGTTTTCAGCTGGGTTACTGCATTGTCCTTGGCGTTGCGCACACTTAACATGTCATGTGTGTTGTGACATTGTTAGCCCGCTAGCCTTGTTAGCTGTCGGGGAATGCCATTACAGCAAATGGCGAGTGCGTTGCTAACCATTAATGCTAGTCACTTGTGTGTGTGTGTGTGTGTGTGCGCGCGCGCGCGCGCGCGCGTATGTGTGTGTACATTTTCCAAACAGGCCAGGATGTGGGGTCTTTCCCCCACCTGGCCTTGGCTAATTCACACATGTTGGAAGTTGATAATATGAGCTACCTGTCTGCACCAGCCAGGCCTGCACACACTCTGAAGCTGTAAAGCTGAGTTTATTAACTTTAGCTAGACTTGACTTTGTCCTTCTCTTTGGCTCCAGATAAACCAATCCACGTGTTCCCCCTTCCCCAGCTCAGTGTGCAGCCTCCCTGTGCTTGGTACAGAGTTAATGCTTGGAGCTAAAGTTGGCATTCCTTTTCATAATTGCTCAGCCCTGGAATGAAGGAATTCAGTTAATGTCTAGTTGTTTCTCCAGTGAAGCACCAATTCTGAACCCTAAACGCACCACGACCAACTCTAATAACTCATGGAGTCTTCCAACCAGGGCAATACACTAATACTACTTGTGATTGTTTGACTCAACCAGACAAATAAGTATCTAAATGGCATGGAGCCACAAAAAAATCACTACATCAGGTCCAGAGGATGGGTAATAGGAACTGTTAAAGTGTCTAATCTCTCTGTTGCACAGCATAAACGCTATCAGGGTCATTTGTGTGAGTTATGGCTGCACCATCAATGCAGATGCCTTGGACATCAAACCAGGAGCAGGCTTAATGAGAGTAACGGTATCAGAGAAATTTCCCACAGGGAGCAGCACAGGCTATAGAAATACTATACCGCTGTAATGGCTTTAGAATGAAAGCATTTCAGAGAGACAATAATCACGTTATTAAGAGTAATAAGCTCTGCCTTTTCATTGTTTTCCAGACCTTGATGTATTTTTGGAGCTTCGATCTTCCCGGATGTGCTCATGCGTAGTGTCTGAGGGTCAATCTGTTCTCTGATTGATTTGCCACGTGGCTTTGGGGTTGTAATTAAAACGTGTACAGCAGCACGCGTCATTATTAAACAGAAATTCAAAGATCTGCTAATACTCAGATGAGTGGGAAAGACTGCACTCTACGTTTGATCGATTTTGTTTGTGTGTGTGTGTGTGTGTGTGTGTGTGTGTGTGTTGGCAAAAAAGTACAGTGGTATCCTCTGGCTACTACCTGCTTCTGTGTTTGTGGGCTCTGCTGCCACCAGGTTTCATCGTGATTTCTTGTGACCTGACAGGCTGTAGCTGCTGTGCCAGAATGCTGCATTACCTTGTCATTTCGTCAGCACAGGTTACACTCTTTAACAAGAGAAGATCGATTCAGCAGTAAAGAAGTGGTGAAAAATGGCTGGCACTGATCATGCGAAGCAGAGAAGGGAATAAATTAAGTGGTAAAAAAAGGCAAAGGGTTATAGCACCTCTTTGTCTGTAGTGATCTCAGGATTTTGCATTTTTTGTGTGT